CATTCAGTGAGTAACTTACTAATATTTTTTTCTCCTTTATTGTCACTTTAGAATAATCTGTATATCCCACCATATTCTGGCCTTCACTGATACTGTCTTTTCTCTTAATTAAGTGGGAATAATGCCTACTTTGTAGGCAAAGTAAAATATGTAATACTTCATTTTATATATATAAATGTATTTTATGTGATATATAATAGATATTCCATAATTGATAGTTACTATCATTTTATAGTATAATAACTGTTAGCAGTTTATGCTCTTGCCTGTACAGGTCTTCCTAGAGAACACTTGCTCATCTTTAAAGAATCAATATAAATGTCACTTCCTTCTTGAAGCCTTTCTTGCTATGCATGTAGACATGACTACTCCCTTAGTTTTGCCACCCTTATATATTTAGTACATATATCCTGTCATTGCATCTGCCATATTTAACTTTATTTATTTGTTTTTACCTTTTGTATACCTGGCTTCTAACCTGGAGTGTGGCATTTAGATATTTGCTAGATAAATGGCTTGAATTTAGGAGTTAATTTATTTGGCTTCTAATATTTACGTGTATTTAAACCATTCAACAAATACGTCAGTCATTTTGGTAGATACTGAGAAGAAAAAGTTAATGCAGTGCATGCTCACAATCAAGTTTAAAGTTATGATACAGTATAATATACTTAACGTAATGGTTTGTTCAAGGGAGTGTGAATAGAAGTGGAGATACATTATTAAAAGGAAAGTAAAGTAGAAGGTATAGGTATGTATTCTAGATTGTGAATATTATTCCAGAAGTGTTTAGTTATCCCCTTCCATGGGGCACATTTATGCTTCTTGGTGTTCTGAGCTCCTCAGCCAGGACCTGGCAATATCTACGAAAACAATATTTTTCTCTGACACTGGTGATGCTGTCTCATTTATGTTAATTATACTGACACTTGAGCATGGATTTGGAATTTTGAAAACTTGCTTAGAATCCCGACTGTCAATTCTAAGGGTGCGATTTTAAGCAGGTTACTCATGAGTCTCATATCCATGTCTGAAAAATGGAGATAATATCTGCCCCACACAGGTTGCAGGGAATAAGTTATGTATATAAAATAGAATTGGTTTCTAGAGTATAGTAGATATTTCTTATTAGGTGAAATTATTTTAATTCATTTAACTTTATTTCTGCAGAATTAAACTGAGTATTTGGCTCTGAATACAGGAAAATAAGGTGGAATTTAATAACAATGATTGCTGACTTTGGTTAGGCCTCATTCTGTTGCAGGTGATTACCTTTTTCCTCAGTGCAAAGTGCTGCTGTCAATCCAGAGAAAAGAAAAGAATGCTCAGCATGTGATGCTAAAAAGATGTATTACACCATGTTGCATTTAACACAAGGTGAGGGCACCGAGGGGAGGAAATTTGTCTTAGTTGTTACATTGTGTGCCCAGCATCAAGCACAGGCCCTGACACATTATAGGCACTCCATATTATGTTTAAATTACTGAGTGAATTCAGTTTGAATGAGAAAAATGTTCTAGGTATGGAGTACATGATGTGCACTGGCACATTTTGAGTAGCTAAGGTAGGTGTCTATGAAATACTGGCAAAGAAGAACCGTTTTGGTAGTTGAGCAATTTTCTTTGAAACCATTATACCAGATTAATTATAGGCACAGAGCTTTTATAACAGATTGTATATTTTAGAAGAAATTTGGGCCAGGTAATCTGAGTTAAAATGATCACCTCTCCTGAATTAACCTAGATGGGAAAGAACTGAGAAAGAAGTGAAATAAGACATTAGAACAGATCGTGGAGATCAGAATCCATAACTATTCTAAATTATATTTGTAAAACTTAAGTCATTGTACTTTAAAGGAATTAAAATTTCATGTGGAGAAATGGATCACTCTTGCCATAACTTCAACTCCTGTCTTTCCTTCTGCTGCTCCAACTTGGCAGAACACCAAACCCTAGAGCAGTCTCATTATCTACCTTCTCTGTTCCTTGGAGGCATGGACTTTTGAATGCTGCCAAGTTTGTTGTAGCACTTGCCCACAGCTGTGCTTCTCATTCTTGCCTCCATCCTATTCCACTGTCACCAGAGTGATCTTTCTATAATGAATTGGATTGTGTTAGTCCCCTCCTTGAAATCCCTTAGTGGCTTCCCAAAGTTTTTAGGATAAAAATCCAAATTCATTAGTATGGAAATCAGAGCTTTTGGAGATCTGGCCTCTTACCAATCTCCTACCTGATCTCCTATCCCTTTTCCATATGTTCTCTATACTCCAGACATGTTAACCCACTTGCACTTCTCTGAATGTTTCATGTTCTTTTCATGTCACTGAACATATGAGTCAGTGTTCTTCCAGGCATGCTTTTCTCTCTTTTCAAGGTTATCAAATACAGCTCATTTAAAATGCTCCAACTTTACCTAACATAATACATTGTAGGAGTCTACATGTCTACTACACTGTGAGCTTTTCTGAGTACAGGATACTCTATTATCTCTTTACTTCCTAATGGCTGTCATTGCTTTGCACAGTATAGAAGCCTAGAAGTTTGTGATTTAGTTAATGTGTGAAGTAACAGAATTTATCAGAGGCTTAAAATATGCCCAGCTATGTCCTGGGTATTATGAACATGTGAGAAATGGAAAAACATGATCCCTGCTGTGTTCATAATCTTACTTGTGCGGAAAAATGACACATAAAGCAATTAGAGATTAATAAAGAATATCATTAAGTGAGGACTTAGAATGATTTGAAAATAAAGATATAATCAAATTTCAAATTCTTGGTATTTCATATTTGCTCTTTACTCTGTTTTTCTGCTTAATATTTACCACTAATAACATGCCTATACCTTTTACTTATTTATCTTGTTATGTTCATAGCCCTCCTAGAATGTAAGTTTCATGAGGAGTTTTGATGGTTTTGTTCACTATGGTTATGTCCAGTACCTGGCACATGGTAGGTCCTCGGTAGGCATTTATTGAATGGATGGAATGGAGTTCAGAGAAGGAAGTGAACACTGGGAGATAGTATTTGTGAAAGACTTCATGGAGAAGTTACATCTTGAGGTAGACCTTGATAGCGTATTTTTATATGACTTTTTTTTCGGGGCATATGTTACTCCTAATTTTCTCCTAATGCTGTCTAAAGTTTGTACAGCCCACACTATTGACTTTACTTAGAGAGTTTAACAACAAAGCCTATTTAAGCAGGGTGAGTGATGCTGACTCTTTATATACAAGTTGCAGTAAACTCATTCACTTTGTTGTATGGTTTTTAGCAAAATGAAATATGTGTAAAAAATAGGTCTGCTGGAGGCAACTATACATTGTATACAGGTCTTCTTTACACTGTACATTATTTAGGTACCTGAGAGCTGATCTTTTACTTTGCATCTATCAAAGTAATTGCAAATAAATTTGAACTCATAGGCATAGGAGGCTTATGGTTGTTTTGTGAATTAGAAATCATAATTGATCATTATGCTTGTAAGTTCTTAGATTTTAGCAATTCTTGGTCAGAATTTTAAATATTTGTTTATATACATATTCATATGTCATATATAATTTATATTAATAATTCTATTTCCCACTTTAATAGTTTCTTCTCTTTTGCTTTCTTCCCTAAAGAAATTAAAATT